CTCTCTCTCTCTCTCTCTCTCTCTCTCTCTCTCTCTCTCTCTCTCTCTCTCTCTCTCTCTCTCTCGTTCCTTCTCTCTCTACCCTCTTGCCTTCCTCTTTCTCCTCTCACCTTATCTCTCCTCCGCGGAGTCAATTGCCTGGTTGCAGTGGCTGGAAGTGGCTGGAAGCATGTTTAATTTGCTGAATGTACAGGTAACGAGGAACTGACGGTCGAAAAAATAGAATGAGACGAGCCAAATGAGGAGAAAAGAAAAAGAAAGAAAAGAGCGCGATCCCACACGTGAGAATAATGTTTGTGCCTACCGTCTTCACCTGAATAGAACACAGGGTCAATATGGCTGTTCTGCGTTTGTCCGGCTTTGTGTGAGAACTCGTTGCACTTGTGTGATGCATCATGGCAGTCTCTTTCCACAGAGGGGATTAGCATGCCCCCTGCGCAAGGATAACACGTAAATAGAGAAATGTTTCAAATTATTGAAATTAACGACAACAACAAAAAAATGCTTTACGGATATAAGCCCTATAAATGTAAAACAGGAAAAAAAAAAAAGAAGTTGCAATAACGACGGTATAAGGTTGGTTCCATCTTCGACCTTGTTCAAAAACGAATCTTCCAGGAGAAAACCTTTGCGTTATCACCATGTCCACAATCTTTTAGCTGAACCTGTCTGTTCTGGTGGTTCTTGTCCTGCATCTGCTGTCCTTTGTCTTTCCTCTCTCTCTCTCTCTCTCTCTCTCTCTCTCTCTCTCCGTATGGCCCATTGTGCCCCTGTGAGTAGATGTGATCCTGTTGGGTCTCGCTTTTTCTGAATGCAAGGAATGGGATTCAGCATCCTTCGGGACATGCGTTAAAATTGCAACGATACAGAGAAGATTAGCATGGCCCCTGCGCAAGGATCACCCGCGTAGATCGAGAAGTGGACCAAATTAAATTGAAAAAAACTTAAAAAAAGGAATGGCATTCAGCAGTACAGGAGGAATGAGATTTACGTTCGATGTGAATGTCACTCGGCTAGGATATTTGATATTTGAAGACTTGAATGACGTAGTGTGGACCCGGTTTCCAGCAGGTGATGCTCCCCACCAATAGACTGGAGCCAGCAGTTTGGGCTGCTAGAGGCGGGGGAGCTCATATTACCCCCACGAGCAGCCCCAGCTGAGTGTTCAAAAAAAAAAAGAATGATGTAGTGTGGATACTACACCTAACTTTGATAAGTTTGATTTTGCAACAGATAGATTGCAGGGCAGTGGCCTTACGATAGCTCTGACATGCTGCTGCGGCTTTAAGACTTGAGAAAACCTTTTGTCTTGGTGGTAAATGGTCATCATGTCATGTCCGCTGCTTAACTTTCATGCTGCTTATGATACTGTGTGCATGCGCTGATTGTATTTTTTTTATCACGACAGCCACGTCATTTGTTATGACAGTCATCCCAATCATCGGGAACGACTATGGACATGCAGGAGCATGGTGTGGGGTTGAGAATGGAACCCTTTTTGGCAAGGTATGTTCAATCATCTACAGTTTGATAAGTCTCAAACAAAATTCCAAATCACGTGACTACCCCTGTCCAATGTCCATTGTGAAAATATGGTACGGACAGTAAGCGTATGTGGAATAACTGTGTGGGTGTGTGGGTGTGTGGGTGTGGGTGTGGGTGTGGGTGTGGGTGTGGGTGTTGGGGGGCGGGGTTGGCTGGTTGTGCAGGGTGGGGGCGGGCACATTAAGTGTCTACGAGAAGAAATGGATTGATTACCAACCAAAAAAAAAGAAAACGGGGGACAAAAGAAAGTGAAAAGAGGGAAACGGAAGCAAGATAAGAAGCGGGTAAGAGGAAAAGATGAAAGGAACATTTGAAATAAGGGTAAGGGCCGTAAGGCAATTAAAAACGAAGGGAGAACAGCGATAGGGCTCTGCATGTTTGTGCAGTTCAGCAGAAGGTGCCCGTACCCCGACGGGAAAGACGCAGAATGAGAGATGTGGAATGAGAGATGCACACACACACACACACACACACACACACACACACACACACACACACACACACACACACACACACACACACAC